GATTGGAGATAAGTAAGAAGTTCTTTACTTTGAGGGTGCTGAGGTGCTGGCACAGGGTGCCCAAACAAGTGCTAAATGCTCCATTCCTGGTAGTGTTCAAGGCCAGGTTGGACAGAGCCTCGAGTGACATGGTCTAGTGTGAGGTGTCCCTGCCCATGGCAGGGGGTTGGAACTGGATGATCTTAAGGTCCTTTCCAACCCAAATGATTCTATGATCCTTTCTGACCCAAACCATTCTGTGAGTCTATGAAAACCAAGTACTTTTCTTGAATAAGAGACCCCTGACTTCTGGAAGAAGCTCAGCACATCTTTCACATTCCTTGTCCCTACAGGCCTTCGGACAGAAGCACCTCTCCAGGTTTACCGTAGCCCCTTTAGGCACTGGGAGCTGCTCTAAGTTCTCCTCTTGAGGAGACTTCTCTTCTCCAGCCCAGCTCTCTCAGCCTGGCTCCAAAGCAGAGCTGCTCCAGTCAGTCCTGTCTGACTTTGGCTGCTGCTCTGTCCCTCTTGCATCAGCTCAGCTGTTTCTACAGCCACATTGGGAACCACATTGAGGAACTGCTCTCGTGAAACCAACCCAGCAGAAGAGCTCTGGTGAGGTTTTATCCAGCTCGGTTCCCCAGCGTGATTCATGGAGCAGCTGCACAAGTGCTCCTTTATGGTGGTACAAATAACTTGCAGTTATTTGCAGTGGTGCATGTAGGCAATGGGGGTTGTCAGCAGAGAATTTGGCTGATGCTGGTGAGACCTGAATTACAACATCATGGTAATATTGTGTATTCCAGCATCTTGAGCAAAATTGATATGAAATACACTTAATAAGGGTTTGAAAATACCCTTAAATAATACTTGGTTTGTCACAGAGCAGCTGTAAGTCCTTGATGAAGTATTTTAGAGCCTGTTTGAATTGTCTTTTGGTTATGTCTTTAGCTGATGGTGTCCTGGCTAAAGCTGATTATCTCTGGTCAGGAGAGGTTAATGACAGAGGTTAACTCTGAATGCGGCCTCTGTAGAGTTCTGAGGAGATCTGAATACTGCAGTATAGGATCAGGACAGTGTCGGGAGGCTTATTTTCAGGATCCAAGTCTCTGTTGTCATGACTTCATATTAAAGAATGTGAACAAGAGAATTGTCCATTAGCTTGAAACTTGTTCCCTATTGGCAGGGCTAAGTAGTGGGACAGAAGGAGGAGGAGAGGGATGACTAAGTTGAAGATTTAAATAGACATTCATTACCTGTTGCATTCTGACTCCTGGACTGTACTGTGATCTCAAAGCCCTGAATGTACCATTCCTCTTCCAGCTGCTTTGGGAGAACTGAGACTTCTGAATTGAGGATCAACTCCAGACTTTGAAGGGTGTAAAGATGTGGGTCCATGTCTCCATGGTTTGTGACATCTTGTCCAGAGGTGCAGGTGTTGGTTATAACACTGAAGCTTTTTCCAAACCTGATTGCATGTAGCGAAAGACAAGAAAATGTTTGGCTTTGCTTGGGGGCTACTTATTGTAACACACTGCTTAAACCAGGCAAACCATTAGCTTGTGGTCCTAAGATGATGTGGAGAAGGCTGCTCTCCTTGTTAGATGCTGTGTGGGCTGCTTTTAGGTTGTAAAGGATTTAATGTGTGTGTATATATATGTGAGCATGGTAGAGGATTGATCTGTGTGCTACAGAAGTTAATTAAAGGAGAGAGATGGCACATAAAAACACTTCTATCATTTTTTATAGAGTGCAATGTCTGTTCAAAGCCATGTCTTATGGAGTGTTTAGGTTCCTTATAAGAATGGCCAGCGAAACTGCACAGCTTTAGATCTGAACTAATGTACATGATTCATACAGCTTTTTTTAAGTGAAGCTTAATCTTTCTGTTGACAATCTTGATACCAATCTCTAGCAAAATAACATCGTGTAGTTGAGCAATGAAGCAACTTAGAAGTTTGTGGGTGGTTTTGTGTAGGTTTGTTTTTTAGAATCCCAGACTGGTTTGGTTTGGAAGGAAACTGAAAGCTCCTCAAGTTCCAACCCCTGCCATGGGCAGGGACCTCTTCCACTAGAGCAGCTTGCTCCAAGCCCCTGTGTCCAACCTGGCCTTGAACACTGCCAGGGATGGGGCAGCCACAGCTTCTCTGGGCACCCTGTGCCAGCGCCTCAGCACCCTCACAGGGAAGAGCTTCTGCCTAAGAGCTCATCTCAGTCTCCCCTAGGGCAGGTTAAAGGCATTCCTCCTGGCCTGGCCCTACAGGCCCTTGTCCCAAGCCCCTCTCCAGCTTTCCTGGAGCCCCTTCAGGCACTGGAGCTGCTCTCAGGTCTCCCCTTCAGGAGCCTTCTCTTCTCCAGGCTCACCCAGCCCAGCTCTCTCAGCCTGGCTCCAGAGCAGAGCTGCTCCAGCCCTCGCAGCAGCTCCATGGCCTCCTCTGGCCTCGCTTCAACAGCTCCACGTCCCTCTTGTTCTGCTGCCCCAGAGCTGGATCAGGGCTGCAGGGGGGGTCTCCCCTTCATACAGCAGAGGGTCAAGATCCTCTCCTGAGCTGCTGCTCACGCTCTGGGGGTGCAGCCCAGCACACAGGGGGTTTCTGGGCTCAAGCGCACACCAAAGCCAAGTCATGGGGAGCTTCTCCTCACCCAGCACCCCAAGTCCTTCTCCTCAGGCTGCTCCATCCAGTCTCCCCCAGCCTGGGTTTGTGCTGGGATTGCCCCAACCCAGGAGCAGGACCTTGCCCTTGGCCTTTTTGAGCTCCATGAGGTTGCAGAATCATAGAACAGTTAGGGTTGGAAAGGACCTTAGGATCATCCAGTTCCAACCCCTCCTATGGGCAGGGACACCTCACACTAAACCATGGCACCCAAGGCTCTGTCCAACCTGGCCTTGAACGATCCCACCTCTCCAGTGTGTCTAGTTCCCTCCAGATCCCATCCCTTCCCTCGGGTGTGTTTTTAATCTTGTATGTTTATCCTGGAGGTATGTGGTCATCCCATCTCAGCTCTGTTTTTAGTGTAACTCGGCCTTTGCAGGAATGAAACTGGTGGTTTTGAATCTGTCACATGAACAGAAATGTAATATTCCTCTTCAAGGTTTCCAGGAAGGAAAAGTAAGACATCACTGAAGTGATACCAAGTGGTATAAAATGTCACTGTAACTGTTATTCTAACACAGATGATAGCCTTTTAACTCATAAATGTATTTTAGGACAAGCTGCAAACAGAAAAATTGTCTTTGGTTTCAAAAGCATTTTAATCCCTCTTTTGGTGAGTGTGTTTCTTTGAAGGTGGATCCAGACTTAGGAGCTTTCGGGAAGCACCAGTATCCTGTAAAATGAACTTTGTGGTCAAAGGATGCACTAACCCGGTTGTTTGAGGCTTGTAGGTGGTTTGTGGTGATCCAGAAGGGATAAGCAGCCACTTGTCAACATCCTTGTGGTAGATGAGTGAGAGTAGATTGAGAGATTCATTGGGAGAATGCGATACCAAAGGATTTGAGGAGAACTTTATATGTGTGAAAGGGTGGTTTGCTGAGTGTTAAGTTCATGACAGTCTGTTTTTTAAGCTTGCATGTATTTTCAGAGTTAAAATAAGCAGCACAGCTAAGGAATGAGTTAAGAACGACTGGAGAGTCTGTGTTAACTTGTTAGCAATGAATTTGTAATCGTAGAATGGTTTGGGTTGGAAAGGACCTTAAGCTCATCCAGTTCCAAACCCCTGCCATGGGCAGGGACACCTCACACTAAACCATGGCACCCAAGGCTCTGTCCAGCTTGGCCTTGAACACTGGCAGGGATGGGGCAGCCACAGCTTCTCTGGGCACCCTGTGCCAGCGCCTCAGCACCCTCGCAGGGAAGAGCTTCTGCCTTATCCCCAACCTGAACTTCCCCTGTTTCAGTCTGAACCCATCACCCCTTGTCCTATCACTGCAGTCCCTGATGAAGAGTCCCTCTCCAGCATCCTTGTAGCCCCCTTCAGACACTGGAAACTGCTCTGAGGTCTCCATGCAGCTTCTCCAGGCTCAACAGCCCCAATGTTCTCAGCCTGGCTCCATGCAGGAGGTGCTCCAGCCCCTGAGCATCCTCGTGGCCTCCTCTGGACTTGTTCCAACAGCTCCATGTCCTTATGTTGAGGACACCAGAACTGCACACAGTGCTGCAATTGAGGTCTCACGAGAGCAGAGTAGAGGGGCAGGATCACCTCCTTCGCCCTGCTGGTCATGTTCAGTATTTGTCTAAGTTAAGGGTATTGTGTGCTTTGAGCCATAGCTGTTGGGAATTTGGTGGGAGAAAGGGGGATGGAGAGAGCTTGACTCAATCTGAGGGTTTTCATTCAAGATGCAGTATTGTAGCGAACTAGCATAATGCTGAAATCACTTAAACTAAAGATTGTAGTGCCATATTCAAGTGTATTCACCCCAAAAGGACTTTGTTATCTGAGCAGATGGTAGCTGACAGACGTCACAACTTACACTGTGTCCTTCATATTCCCTGACAATCTGGATGTGACTTTCCGATAGGATTCTATGGTATGTTTTATTTAAGGCTGTGGTAGCAGTTTCCAGGATTACTGTGAATTCAGGAAGCTTTATCCAGCTCTGGGTTAGGAGTTGGTTTATGTTGGAGCTCTTTGCTAGTGCTTGTTGAACATAGCTTTGCCTTGGAAGTGTTTCCAATGGGATGATGCAGAATACCTGGGTGGTGCTGCTGCTGTTTGAAGCTCAGTGTCTCACATATTCACTTGAAACTGCTGGATTAGGTGGAGTGATTTAGACATGAAGAGCAGAAAGCAGGTACAGGATACAAGTGTGAGTAGTAGAGCAGTGTTGCTTAATCTGAGCTCGTAGGTGCTGGTTGCTGCTTGTCCAAACAGTTTCAAAGAATCATAGAATGGTTTGTGTTGGATAGGACCTTAAGATCATCCAGTTCCAACCCCCTCTATGGCCAGGGATGCCTTCCACTGCTCTAAGCCCCTTTCAGAGTTCTTGATCTGTTTTGTTTTGTTGTTTTGCTCTTTTTCAGCGCCGGCTTCGCCACCTTCGGAATATCGCTGCCCGGAACATCATCAACAAGAATGGGTATCGCCTCCTGGATACGTACTTCACTCTTCACTTGTGTGATAACACCAAGATATACAAAGGTAAACCAGATTTTCACTGGTTAATCCTTGGGTTCCTATGATCCAGATTCTCTGCCCTTTTATTACCTTGACAGCCCCGCTGCCATGTTTGCATCGCTTATACTAATAGTGGAGAAGAGCTCTTTAGTTTCCTGAGCTTCCTAAAAGCTTTCAGTTGGCAGCCAAGGAAGCAAAACAGATGATGCATTTAGTAGAGTCTTAAATCAGCTTATTATTGTTCTTTGCTCCTCTCCCCTCGCTGATAATTCAAGAAAGTTGGGAACTTCCAAGAGCACAGAACAGTTAAAGCCTTTGGAGCCTTAGTTGATTTGTGGGGGGAGAGTGTCCTGCTCTCTGCTCAGTTACTTTACAGAGCAGAAACCAGCACTCATACGTAAGTTTTCCAAAAATAGACTTGTCAGCCAATGACATGAAGCATCCAGGCATCTGTTCTGCTTTTGATAGCTGTGTTTGAGTGTTGGATCTCATTCCCCTTTAATGCTTTGCTTTCCACTACAGTTCTTGACTGTAGAGAGATGTTATTAAAACTGTATTTTTAACCTCCTTTCTGATATGCTCAACAGTTGGAGGTGAATTTTGGTTTTCTCCTAATCGTTATTTTCAGCTAGTGTAATTGATCCTTGCTTTTCTCAAAGGTTTTGGAAGGATAAGGATATATAACGTGAGGTTACAGCCTGGACTTCTTTGTGGTTGGCTGAACCTCTAACTGATCACTACTTCTACAGTCTCTCATGTAAGGGACTGTCCTGCATTCCATCAACACTTTAGTCTGTTGGAGTCCAAGGATAAGGGATATAGTACAAGATCTGTATTACAGCCTCCAGAGCTCTCTACCTGAAGCCCCTTCAAGTTCCTTTTTGGGCTGGAAAAGCCAAGGTCCCTGTGTCAGCAGTTGCTTATTTCTATTTAATACAGGGTTCTTGGCACCTCTGTGGGGTGATTTGGCTCTTTGCTCTCTAAGCATCTGGAACAGGTCATAGAATCATAGGATAGTTAGGGTTGGAAAGAAACTCAATGTCCCTCATGCTCTTCAGGAAAGCAGTGCAATGAGTGCTGCACTCCTCCTGACGAAGAAGTCACTTTGCCAATGTCATCCAAATATTGTGAAGTACTGGGGCACCCCAGAAACCAAAACCTCAGTAAATCTTGAGAGTTATCTTGGGTATAAAGGTGAAATGCTAAGTTCAAATGCTGATGTCTAATAGTGAAGTGTGAATGAATCATAGAACCATAGAATGGTCTGGGTTGGAAAGGACCTTAAGGTCATCCAGTTCCAACCCCCTGCCATGGGCAGGGACACCTCACACTAAACCATGGCACCCAAGGCTCTGTCCAACTTGGCCTTGAACACTGCCAGGGATGGAGCATTCACAGCTTCCCTGGGCAACCCATTCCAGTGCCCCAGCACCCTCACAGTAAAGAACTTCTTCCTTAGATCCAATCTAAACTTCCCCTGTGTCAGTTTGAACCCATCACCCTTTGTCCTATCACTGCAGTCCCTGATGAAGAGTCCCTCCCCAGCATCCTTGTAGCGCCCTTCAGACACTGGAAGCTGCTCTGAGGTCTCCACGCAGCTTCTCTTCTCCAGGCTCAACAGCCCCAACTTTCTCAGCCTGTCTCCATACAGGAGCTGCTCCATCCCCTGAGCATCCTCATGGCCTCCTCTGGACTTGTTCCAACAGCTCCATGTCCTTTTTACATAGAGGACACCAGAACTGCACACAATGCTCCAAGTGAGGTCTTGCTCTAGTTCAAAGCATGCCTGTACTTCTAAGTCTTCCTCATGAATCTACTCCTGATAAACCAGACCTACTAGCATTTGTCTTACATGAGTGTTATTTATTTTAGTCTTTTCTGTTCTATATCCATGTTTAAACTAATCTAAAGGTGTCTTTTTACTCATTTTTTCTTTAGAGTTTTATAAGAGTGAGGTGATCAAGAATTCTCTGGTAAGTTACTTTAATATTAAAACTTTTCTTTTGGAAAACTGTGTGTTTACTCCAGTAGTTTGATTTCTCTGCTGAACACCAGCACTGTTAAATGTGTATTTGCACTCTTCAGTTCTGGTTGGAGTATCCCATTCTCCTTTTCAGGTCGGTCTCACAGGGGTTGGGGTAGTGAGTTACTGACTAGTAGACGTGTGTGTTGGTTTCAAGTCTTGGTCCTCTTGCAAGATAGAACACCCCAAGGGCAGGGTGTTTTCATGTGAAAACTTCAAATAAAGCTTTAAAATATAAATTCAATATTAAGAACACCAGATAGGTAAAGTACCATTAGCTGTGTTTTTACTGGTTTAAGTCATTTCAGTAGCTGAGATTTGTATGTGCCATAACTCAGATTTGTGTGCAGTTCATCTCTTTATTTGCTCTTCTTGGTGTTAACAGAAATAGCTGCTTTTATTTAAATGTCTATTCAAGAAGCACTTGTATGTTACTTTGGGTGTACAGATTCAATAGAAGCTCAGGTTGTGCAGTGGTATAGAAGCCGAGGCCCTGTTTGCAACACCCCAGACAAAGGGACAGTCAGTGTTGCACTGATTTCTTTGGACATCTCTCTGTTGTATAAGTGAATGGTAAGGAGCATGTACCTGCTCATATACACATGTGCATTCTTTGAATAGCTTTAAGAAAGTGAAGTTGAAAGCATCTTAGAGTTTCTACATTTCCCATTTTTGGGTCAGTGAAGGGCCCAGAACTGGTCAGGTTCTTACAGCAGATGAGAGGTAGGTGTCTCTCTAGGTGTAGGATGTTGCAGATACTGGGTAAAGGAGTTTGAAAACCTTCATGAACAAGATAGAGCAGCACCATTTATAGCCCATGAGGTCTAAGTGCTTTGAAAAGCTCCTGAATGGAGAAGCAGCTCTCTACATCCTCAAGCCTCATTTATGCAAGAGACAAGTTCCATGAGACTTTAGGATTTTGAGGTCTGCCTGTTCTAAGTCAGGACAAGGAATGACAAAAAGGGAATCTAACCAAAGGCAACATGAGGTGAAATGTCACCAATGTAAATCAAAGATGTCTGGAGCAAATTTCGTACATTGTCTATGGGTTTTTATTAAAATGGTATTTTTGTGCTACCAAATATCCCTTCTCCTTAAGAAAACTCCAAGCATGTATTCCTTCTGCAGTACTTCATGGGTGGCTTTGCTCCTCCCTTCTTTTCAGAGGCATCTGACTCTAAATTGCCTAACACCAGTTCAAAGATGGTTGGCCTCTTCCAAGCTTCTTAAGCACTAGAAGGAAAAGCTTGTTGTATCGTGGGGTAGTGGTGGGTTCCCACATTTGTTTTGGAGGAGTTACCATTTCTGGGTGTAGCAGAGGAGGGAGATGTGCATAAAAAGCTCTTCCCCATTTCTGCCTTAGGACACCCTGGGATTTATGGCCTGTGGCAGTCCTAAAGTCAATATCTGTCTCTTGGCACTTGTAGGGTTGCATTGACTTGGTTGCATCTTGGCCAGTTACAACAGTTCCATAAATCTTTAATTCTGTGTTATCAGAGATGAGTGAAAGTTCTTGGAATGCTTCATGTTTGCAAATCTGAGTTCTAGGGAAATAGATGTTAGCAGTTTAGTATGCTGACTTTATAAAGCTTGAGATGCACATCTGGCCTCTTGGGATGAAGAGGCAGCATTTGAGGATTGCCATCAGCATCAGTCAAGGAGGAGAAGAACGTGAACAAACATGTCAATAATGCAAACTGAATCATTAAGGAGTAGATCAGCCCTTTAAACTTCACTTTTGCAGTGTAAACTGTACTCAGAAGCTCAGTTATGACTTGGGAAGTCACTTCCACTTGTGAAGGTCCTGATTTGGCTCAACTGAATGAGCAAATTCTGAGTAAATTCTTCAGTGTTTCCTAATGGAAGGAAACAGAGCCCACTCTGAGTTTCTGAAGTACTTTACAGCATGAAGCCTTTAACCCAGGGATTCTGTGTAGTAAACAGGCTAAGGAAGCAGCAGAGCCTGTTGGCTTCAGCCATGTGTGAACCTTGAAATAGGGTGTTTGTTATTCTTTTATATATATATATATATCTATATATCTATATAGATATATATAGATATATATAGATATAGATATATATAGATATATAGATATAAGGTTTGACATGGACTTCACTACCTTCTGCATTGTTTAGTTTGAGTTGGTTTTATCCCTCTTTACCCACAGAATCCGACATGGAGGAGCCTGGACTTTGGGATAATGCCTGATCGTCTCGATACCTCTGTCTCCTGCTTTGTTGTGAGGATCTGGGGTGGCAAGAAGGAGCACTTCCAGCTCTTGATTGAATGGAAGGTCAATCTGGATGGGTTGAAGTACTTGGGCCAGCAGGTAATGTGAAAACAGTTTATTCTCAACTCTTTACTGAAGGAAACAAGTTATGTGGATGAACAAATAGATAGAAGGCTAAGAAAAGAAATGAACACATTTGATGGGCATGTTTTAAGGTTTGATTGCAGAGATTCATGCTAGGTTACCTATGAGCTTTAAATCTTGACTGCTTTAAGGTACCACTGTTGACTGAGAATCTCAAATGGTAGTGGTTTAAAGTGCAGTGCCTTGCTTCAAGGAAACAGTGGTGTGATTGTATGTATACTTCATAGAATCCCAGCCTGGCTTGGATAGGAAGGGGCCTTAAATCTCATCCAGTCCCAACCCCTGCCACAGGCAGGGACCCCTTCCACTGGAGCAGCTTGCTCCAAGCCCCTGTGTCCAACCTGGCTTGAACACTGCCAGGGATGGGGCAGCCACAGCTTCTCTGGGCACCCTGTGCCAGCGCCTCAGCACCCTCCCAGGGAAGAGCTTCTGCCTAAGAGCTCAGCTCAGTCTCCCCTCTGGCAGGTTCAAGCCATTCCCCTTGGCCTGTCCCTGCTTGCTCTTATTAAAATGTTTGTGTATATGACAGTTTTAATCCATTCACATAGCAATGACAAACCATCAAAGTTCTTCAGTCCAAGGAGCTTACTCGGAGATCTGTTTTATTCTGGGGTTTGTATATTACTCATAGCCTTTTGAAAGAGGTGAAACGAGAGGTGTGTTCTGAATTGTGGAGCCTATAGTAAAAGTGGCTCAGAAGGAAACCCATATCACATAAATGATAAAACTACTAAATAAAACCACTAAATGTGAGGGTGCTGAGGCACTGGCACAGAGTGCCCAGAGAAGCTGTGGCTGCCCCATCCCTGGCAGTGTTCAAGCCCGGATTGGATGGGACTTGGAGCAACCTGCGCTAGTGTGAGGTGTCCGTGCCCATGGCAGGGGGTTGGAACTGGATGATCCTAAGGTCTTTTCCAACCCAAACCATACTGTGATTCCATGATTTTGTCTGCTATGACCAGAGAACCCTCATTGTTAGCATCATTACTTATCATTATGTGCAAACTAGTTACTCTTAAGACTTATTTCTTTGATTAGTTTCCTGGTCTCCTTATTTTTGTCAGCTGGGAACGCCGCAATAGGAAGGATGCTCTGGCCAATGTTTCTGATTTCAAGGTAGAATTGCTGAGCACACTCAGTGACATATTAAACCTGTGAAGCAAATGCATTTTCTATGGATAAATTCCATTTTCACTTAGTTTTCCTGTGCTTCTAGAGTTGCAGGTGCTGAAAAACTGCTTTCGACTGTCAGAGCATTCCATGCTTGTGTGCTCTGTATGCTGTGTAAAGTCATAGTTAGGTGACTGGAATGATTTTTTTTTTCCTTCTCTTCTTACAGATACATGCAAGAAACCCCAATGAGATTATTTTTGGTCTCAATGATGGTTACTATGGAGCTTCATTTGAGCAGAAGGTAAGGGCATCTTGTACTTCTGGCTTGTTGGTACTGCTGACAAGCTGAAATTGAACTTGGAAACTGACATTTTCTCACTTAAATACACAAAAACACTTCATTTTGAGAAGAAACCCTCTTTTTGACATACCAGATAAGAACTGTTACTTTGCCTTTGTGGTGTGGACATCTGAGCTGTTTGGGAAGGCAGAGACTAGTATTTTAAGTCCAAAAATCCCTTGTTACTGGAAATAGGATTGTTTTTTGAAGCAGAGATTGCTTTTAAACATAGAACATTCTGAAATGGTGTGGTTTCTAAGGCTCTTTTTCATGGCAAATAGAAAAGCACATGAAGTTTTAGTTATCAGTTTTAAAACCAGAGTTTGTAGCTCTTAAGTAGGAATCAATTTGCTCCATGTTGCCACTGTTTCACCCCACGGTTTTTGTTCTTCAAATACTCCACTGGAGTATTTGTGCTTATTCAGCCAACATTGTGGTTGCAGCCACATTAATCCTATGGCAGTGCTGATTTCTACATCGATGCTGAAGAAGCTTAAAGTTACCTATAGCAAACAGCACAGCTGACAGGTTGTGTTTATCTTAATCCCAAATTGCCAGTGGCAGTGCTGTGGTATAGGTAGGTTGTATAAGGAGTCCCTGGCTGGAAAGGAGATGACTCCTTGATGCACAGCTACAGTTCCTGCATTAGCCGCAACTAGCAAGTCCAGTCTTGTGGGGATTTGAATGGAAGTGATGGCTTTATAGTCAGCAATGTACAGATCAGGTTCTAGGAAGAAATCCTTCACTGTGAGACTGGTGAGACACTAGAACTGATTGCACAGAGAGGGTGTTCAGCCTGGGGAAGAGAAAGCTTCAGGGGGACCTTTGAGCAGGTCCCCGTGCCTAAAGGGGCTCCAGGAAAGCTGGAGGGGGGCTTTGGACAAGGGCCTGTAGGGCCAGGCCAGGAGGAATGCCTTTAACCTGCCCTAGGGGAGACTGAGCTGAGCTCTCAGGCAGAAGCTCTTCCCTGGGAGGGTGCTGAGGCGCTGGCACAGAGTGCCCAGAGAAGCTGTGGCTGCCCCATCCCTGGCAGTGCTCAAGGGCAGGTTGGACACAGGGGCTTGGAGCAAGCTGCTCCAGTGGAAGGGGTCCCTGCCCCGTGGCAGGGGTTGGAACTGGAGGAGCTTTCAGTTCCCTTCCAACCCAAACCAGTCTGGGATTCTGTGATATGGTGCCTCTGTTGCAATATGATGCATATTGCAGTGTATAGATCACACAATTATTTAGGTGGAACTTTATTTTTTGTGGGAAAGAATGTGCTGCATGGCCTGTGGCTAATGCAGTTGTGTCAGGAGATGTTGACATGTAACTGCATTTCAACATGTTCTATATGAAAGCAGCCTGTTGAGGCAGGGAGTGTGCAGGGATTGTGGTACTCTGATTGTGCCTGCATCACTTGGAAAATCAGCTGATAGATGAGATCAAGTGGAGTTAGTGCATACACTAAATGAATGCCTGTTTTCCTACAATCCGTAAACTTCATTACAGTGCTGCTGGTGTTTTGACCTATTTAGAATTGACTTTATCATGTGAAGAACCCGTTCTGAGTCTCTGGTGCTTCTAGGAGTTTGTGTGACTATGATATAGAAGAACTCAATATGTGATCTTTGCAACGTGAAGAATTGCTCTTTGTCACTGTTTCAATGCCTCTTGTGCAGAGTGTACACTTCGGTTGCTTAAGAACGATAGAAGGGATTTTTTTGTAACTTCCAGAGACTTATTCACATCATTCACAACTGAGATTGCTTTGATCCTTTAAACGTGTTTCTGCATGGATAGGGAGTAGGGCTTTATCTCACGTCACTGAATAGGCTCTCAGATCTGAACCTGAAGAATGGCAGCACTCTAAACGGCATCCTTCAGTATTTCTGTGCATGCAGTCTGTGCAGTGATGGATTATAAAGGTCAGGAAACCACACTCTCTGTCTAGAACACAGTGAAGTGATAGATCACTAGCACCTTTATAGGTAAGTGCTGTTATGAGCCAGACTTGAGCTTGGTTTCATTACCACCATATATTGTTTCTATCTACTGCACATAAAACCATGTGCAAAGAGATTTAAAAGACATTAAATGCAACATTATTTGTTGTCCTACCAAAAGTACATGTCAAGATGGAGAAGGTTTTGGTTCTTAAATTAACATCCTTTCTTTGCCTTAAGGATCACTCAGGTACCCTGAAGAGCAGTCTTCTCCAGGTGGATCAGAACTGTGTCCGTAACTCGTACGATGTCTTCTCTTTGCTTAGGTAAGGTGTTGGAGAATATTCTATGTAGCTCTTGGTAACTTCTTTAGCATGTGAGTAGAATGAGCCTTTCCAAGTATAAAACCAACTCTTCTGGACTGGAATGTGCAAAGGAGATATCCAGGTAGTGCTGATGTGCCTCTGGTAGCAAGGAGGTGGGCCTTGAGTGTGTGTTCCTTGGCTTCTGCCATGTGGATGCTTTAGTGCACTGACCTGGAGCTGGCTGTGGAAGTCAAGATCATGGAGCTTCTTGTTGGAGGGCTTTTGTGGAAAAGCCCTTGTCCTGGTTTCAACTGGGATAGAGTTAGTTTTCTTCCTAGTAGCTGGTGCAGTGCTGTGGTTTTGATTTTTAGATGAGAGCAATGCTGATAACACACCCATGGTTTTGTTGTTGCTCAGTAGCACTTACCCTGATCAAGGACTCTTCATTCTCCCGTGCTCTGCCAGTGAGGAGGAGCACAAGAAGCTGGGAGGGAGCAGAGACAGGACCCCAGACCCAAACTAACCAAAGGGGTATTCCATACCACAGCACGTCATGCCCAGGATAGAAACTGGGGGAGTTGGCTGGAGGTAGCTGATCACTGGGTATCTGTTAGCAGGTGCTGAGCAATTGTATTGTGCATCACTTGTGTTTCTTTAGTTCTTCCTTTTGTTTTTTCCCTTTATTATTATTTATTATTATTATTACTACTACTAATATTATTATTATATCTTATTTTAATTATTAAACTGTTCTTATCTCAACCCATGGATTTTACATTTCCCCCATGTCTCCTCCCTATCTCACTGTGGGGTTGTGTGTGTGAGCGGCTGCCTGGTACTTAGTTACCACCTGGGGTTAAACCACAACAGCCCCACTCTGTTCTCAACAACATTAAAACTTAACTCAATTAGAACTAGGGGCAGGGGGGAAGCAACTTGCCCAAACTTAACTTGGTAGAATGATGCTGTAGTTGGAACAAAGCAGCTACACACCTGAATGTGTGTGGTTTGTGTCTTTTTAAATGTCTAATTTGAATTGAATTTGCCTTTTTTCTGCTTTATAATCCAGAAAATAGGCACTGCACAAAGTCAGGATCCAGTTACTCCAACACTTTTATGGTATAAAACGGGTATGGTGACTGCAGTTTTAGGTGGTTGTTTAGGTCAGGTGGTGAAACCTGCAAAACACTGGCATAAAGGTAAATGAAAGGTCCTTTTTCAGATCTGCTTTAATGATAATAGATCAAGAACATTATGTGTGGAAAAATAGAAGTTTTAAACACTTGTCAGTAGATGGATTTTGAGGAGTTCAAAAGGCATTTAACAAGCCCTGCAGGGAAGGACTTGGGGGCATTGGTCGATGAGAAAATGAACATGAGCCGGCTTCAGTGTGCACTTGCAGCCCAGAAAGCAACCGTATCCTGGGCTGCATCAAAAGGAGCGTGACCAGCAGGGCGAAGGAGGTGATCCTGCCCCTCTGCTCTGCTCTTGTGAGACCTCACCTGCAGCACTGTGTGCAGTTCTGGTGTCCTCAACATAAAAAGGACATGGAGCTGTTGGAACAAGTCCAGAGGAGGCCACGAGGATGAGCAGGGGCTGGAGCAGCTCCTGTATGGAGCCAGGCTGAGAAAGTTGGGGCTGTTGAGCCTGGAGAAGAGAAGCTGCGTGGAGACCTCAGAGCAGCTTCCAGTGTCTGAAGGGGGGCTACAAGGATGCTGGGGAGGGGACTCTTCATTAGGAACTGGACTGATAGGACAAGGGGTGATGGGTTCAAACTGAAACGGGGAGTTTAGATTGGATAGAAGGAAGAAGTTCTTTACTGTAAGGGTGCTGAGGCACTGGAATGGGTTGCCCCGGGAGGTTGTGAATGCTCCATCCCTGGCAGTGTTCAAGGCCAGGTTGGACAGAGCCTTGGGTGCCATGGTCTAGTGTGAGGTGTCCCTGGCCATGGCAGGGGGTTGGAACTGGATGATCTTAAGGTCCTTTCCAACCCAAACTATTCTATGATTTTAAGACAGGTTGATAACTTCAGTTCTACAGTAATAGCAATAGATGTGCTAGAAAGGAAACCCTCGAGAAGGAAGTGTTTAATATGCTTTCAAAAGTCTTTGGAGAAATACATTTGTGTTTTTATCAGTTGTAATGAAAGTTGAATGCCTTTGGTAGTGTTAACGGTAGGTGTCACTGTTGCTTGTGAAGTGAAGACCTTAACTCTAGGAGACGTTAACTCTTATGTTGCTTATTCAAGAAGTCCGTGTTTTATAAGCTCTCTTAAAACTTAAATGTGCTGTTTCTTGGTTGTGTAAAGCAGGTTTGAACCAAAAGCTGCATTCTAAATGTCTGTCTCCTGCACTTTTAGTGCAAAACAGCCTGGGGGTGCGTTATAAACTTCTGGTTGTGCTCTGGCACAGTCTGTTAAAGAGAACTCTTCTACTACCTAACATTATCTTTGTTAAATAGAATAGAATGTGTGCTGGTCATCCTGAGTGCTTTATTGATGCGTTTTTGTGGGTTTCCCACATTTCCTTTGCATTTCTTTGTAGGATGAAGCACACTCTCACTCGCTATTACATCATGACTTGACCAGCTTGAGCCTGTCTGAGCCTGTCTAACTGTGTCTAATCTGAACCGTGGTCCTTCTGAAAGTGTCTATCATAAAGCTAACAAGAAACGAAGATGTCAGCTTTGCTAAAGCTCCCCTTGCTGGATGCTGTTTTGAAACCTCACTACTGAAGCTGAGCACTTTGTTTGGTCTTGGGAAGGTTCTTGAGAGCCCAGACATCATCTCTTTATAGTTCCTAGGTGTGCTGTTGGGTGTAGCTCTTGTTCAGCCCTGCCCTCTGAGCAGAGACATTCTCTTTTTGCTTTGTCCTAAAAGGAACAGGTTTTTATCCAGGCCTCACCACCAGGCCTGCTGCTGATTATGCCTCAGTGGATTTGACATATCCTGTAGGAGTACATCTTGCATTGTCTACTTCCATCAGAAGTTAGCAGTTATCAGCTGTGACCGTTTCTAGGTGCTCTTTTCACCTGTTTCCTTCTTAGCTAAGAAAGCTCTTCAGGAGCTGAGGCAAAGTCTAGAATCCTTTCTATGGATTTCTGTAGGTCCAAACTTAAACAGGGGAAGTTCAGGTTGGATATAAGGAAGAAGCTCTTCCCTGTGAGGGTGCTGAGGCGCTGGCACAGGGTGCCCAGAGAAGCTGTGGCTGCCCCATCCCTGGCAGTGTTCAAGGCCAGGTTGGACACAGGGGCTTGGAGCAAGCTGCTCTAGTGGAAGGGGTCCCTGCCCGTGGCAGGGGTTGGAACTGGATGATCTTAAGGTCCTTTCCAACCCAGACCATTCTATGGTTCTATTCCCTCCCACATTAGCTCTGCTATTTTACAGGTACACTTTCTCTACTGCTGCTTACCTTCGACATCAACCTTAAACCACTGGTGATAGTGTTTATTTCTTTTAAAGCAATCTCTAGTCTCTTCTTCTCAGGTCCCTTTGCTCCTACCAAGCATGTTGGTTCCCACCTCTCCAGCTCAAGTCCAGGCTTGAGTAATGAGCCCATGAACTCTTTCCAATGATGGTTTTTGTGTGACTATGTTCCATTTGCAACCTGAAGAGAGAGATGGGCATAATTTGAGTTGTGATTCATTTGACAGGACATGTACTTGGGGAGGAAATGAATCTGTCTGCCTGCTTCTGTCCGTTGGCTGTAAAGAGAACAGGGAGGTGTCTGTGCTTGCATCTGGTCACATAAATCCCACGTTTTGAAGGCTTTCTCATGATATGATGCTTGTCTGTAGTAAAAATTCACAAGCTGCACGTGTGGTTTCCTAATGCTTCCATGGGACATGTGGATATGAAGAACAGCTTTGTCCCGGTTTTGCTTAAACTCCCTAAAACCAGGAAGCAAATCCTAGTGATGATGGTGTCTGTATCCCAGTTATTCTGATGGTGTCATTCTGCCAGGTGGGATCAGCTGAACAGTGTGGAAATCATAGAATGGTTTGTGTTGGAAGGGACCTTAAAGCTTATCCAGCTCCAACCCCTGCCATGGGCAGGGACACCTTCTACTAGAGTAGCTTGCTTCAAGCCTCTGTGTCCAGCCTGGCCTTGAACACTGCCAGGGATGGGACATCATCCTTGTGTGAGATGAGCAACTGAGAGAGAAGGTTTTACCTCGACCCTCACCTCCTGAAAAAGTATAAAATGAGAACTTCTGTGGTCAGCCTATCCATCAAACCTGTTTTGGGGGGAAGAAATGATTGAATTTTTGTTTTTACTTCTCAGAAGAAGTGAATAGCTCAAACTCATGAAGCTTGTGAATAGGCCTTAATGAAAAGCACGTGCTTGGCTCAAATTCTGTTGATTTAAAGAAATTAGTTAGGAATGCCAGAGCGTGTGAACAGTAGAAAATGGTTTGAGTGTTGGATAAAAGTCGTGCCTGTGTGCTCAGATGCTTAATGACTCAGATTTACAAGTTCATTAAGCAGGAGGAAAAGTTTAAGTACCCAGAGAGCTGAGCTTTACACAAGGAGAGTTCTCAGCACCTCTGCAGCTCGTGAACCTTCTTGTTTTGGGGCAGGGGCATCTCAGGCAGATGAAGACAGGCTGAGAACATTGGGGCTGTTGAGCCTGGGGAAGAGAAGCTGCGTGGAGACCTCAGAGCCGCTTCCAGTGTGTGAAGGGGGCTGCATGGATGCTGAGGAGGGACTCTTCATCAGGGACTGCAGTGATAGGACAAGGGGTGATGGGTTCAAACTGAAACAGGGGAAGTTCAGGTTGGATCTGAGGCAAAAGTTCTTTACTGTGAGGTGCTGGCACAGCGTGCCCAGAGAAGCTGTGGCTGCCCCATCCCTGGCAGCGTTGAAGGCCAGGTTGGACACAGGGGCTTGGAGCAAGCTGCTCTAGTGGAAGGGGTCCCTGGCCGTGGCAGGGGTTGGAACTGGATGGCCTTATGGTCCTTTCCAACCCAAACCATTCTATGACTGTATGAAATGTAGTGCTGTTAAGCAGTTGTTCATGCCAT